GAAATTTTCAAGTTTAGACTTTGGACTGGCCAAAAGGCCAACTTGGATTAGTCATCCTCTGATAAGTGATAATGTAATGTTAGTATTTTTTATTGTGAAATCAGTGCATCGCAAAGCCACAGACTTTCCCATTTTACTGCACCCAAAGGCAAAGGCGCTCAGGCTCGCGGTGCACACACTCCTCCTTTCGGCCGCCGCCATTCATTTTTCTCGGCAACCAAACATCTCTAAACCTCTTCGCTTTTACAGTTTCTGGGAAAAAGCTTCAATCTTTCCGTTCGGCGGAGCGCCCCCAAGCCATGGCTTCTTCCACCATCGCCTCTCCTTCCGCGTCCTTCATTCCCACCAAGGTATATTTGATATTCGACACTGCTGCGTTGCCTTCCAATTTTCCCTTTTGAAGAAGAAGAATCCAGTCTTTTTTTCTTAATGATTTTGGGGGGGTTTTCCCGTTTTAACAGAAGGAATTGGGTCGCTCGGCTTTCTCCCCAGCATCGTCCCCTTTCTCGGTCCCCAAATGCAGGAAATCGATCTCCAAGAAAATTGTTTCGGTCATGGCGCCACAGCAGTCGGAACGCAAGCCGGCAGCTACTGGCTCGGTTAGTGTCCGATTCTCATGTGCTTTCTATGTGATTGCTTCTGGCCACCGGTTCGATTCTGTTCATTTTGGTAATGGGAGATCTTGATGCAGGTGAAGACTGCGATGACAATGACTGAGAAAATATTGGCTAGGGCTTCTGAGAAGACCCATTTGAGTCCCGGTGAAAATGTTTGGGTAGACGTTGATATCTTGATGACCCATGATGTTTGTGGCCCTGGTTCTATCGGTATCTTCAAGAAAGAGTTTGGGCAGAATGCCAAGGTATTCATCGTCTCAGCTTTCTGTTTTTGGCTTTGTTAATATCTTTGTGTACATCAAGTTATTATAATATGGATTTGAATTTGAGCCAATGCTTTTGTCTGGTGCTGGATTATGCAAAAGTTAGATTAAGTGTCTGTTTTAAAATGCCTGATGAGCACCAAGCTTACTGCCAATCTGAATATTGAAGGTTTGGGACCGTGAAAAGATTGTGATCATTCCGGATCATTATATATTTACCAACGACGAACGTGCAAATAGGAATGTGGATATCTTGAGGGACTTCTGCGCAGAGCAAAACATCAAGTACTTCTATGACATTCAGGACCGTGGTAATTTTAAGGTTCGTGTGGCCAAATGTAGCGGTTCATTTTTCCTTCCTTCATCCTTCCTTTAATAACAGCTGCAAATGGAACAATTCTGACTTCATTGCTTTTCAGGCTAATCCTGATTACAAAGGGGTCTGCCATATTGCACTTGCACAAGAGGGTCACTGCAGACCTGGCGAGGTACACTCAGCATGCAGGAGTTGTACTTTCATCAAATCCATTTAGTTTACTTTGTAAGGAATGACATTATCTATTCATCTGTTTTCAGGTCTTGTTAGGTACAGACTCACACACCTGTACTGCCGGGGCATTTGGGCAATTTGCCACTGGAATTGGCAACACTGATGCTGGTTTTGTGATGGGTGCTGGGAAGCTCTTGCTTAAGGTTGGTGAAATGTATTTTTATGGGGACTAAGTTTTCAACTGCCGCAGATTCATTTGTCAATTACGTTGTGTGAAACTTTTGCTTATAGTTGTAAATAACCATATGCTATCTATCCCTTTCTTGCAATTTACAGGTGCCCCCAACTTTGAGATTCGTCATGGACGGTGAAATGCCTGACTATATTCTTGCTAAGGATTTGATTTTGCAAGTGAGTTTTGAATGGGGGTACAGCATTCATATTCTGACGCAAATTTGCTTCTGTTTTACAGACTCTGATATTTTAGCTATTTTTCAGATCATTGGTGAAATATCTGTGGCTGGTGCAACATACAAATCGATGGAGTTTGTTGGCTCAACTGTTGAGAGTTTAAATGTAAGTGATTCTTGTATCTAACCTGCTGTGTATGGTCAGTTGATTGTTGTTAACTATGAATATATGTATCTCCTCTTGTTGGACAGATGGAAGAGCGTATGACATTATGTAACATGGTTGTTGAAGCTGGAGGAAAGAATGGTGTTGTTCCTGCTGATAGTACTACTTTCAAGTATCTTGAGGTTAGTTGGATAATTACCAGATAAACTCTGCTGGAAATGCTTTTCTTCTTCTAACGTGAAAAGAAACTATTTGGAAACATTACCACCCTTACTATGTTTTCTAAATTATAGGACAAGACATCTCTTCCCTATGAACCGGTTTATAGTGACCAGCAAGCAAGGTAATCTTTCTTGGCGAAACAATTGGCAAGAGGCTTCCTTTTTTTTGTCCCTTCGGTCATTCCTATTTTGAATAATTCCTTTCTGTTCTGTGAATGGTATCAGATTTCTTTCAGAGTATAGATTTGACATCTCAAAGTTGGAGCCAATAGTTGCCAAGGTGAGTAACTAATTAATATAATTATTCATTCATTTATTATGAAGGTTATAAGTAAATAGTTCTGTTATTAACAAGAAAGGCATACAAAGGGCATTAGTTTTATCCCTCCCAAATGCTTCTGTTATAGATCTTTTTATTGGTAAACTCCTTGTTTACCCATTCATTGTGAAGTTTGAGAAATTCATTGTATTTTTTTGCAGCCCCATTCTCCTGATAACCGAGCTTTGGCAAGGGAGTGCAAAGATGTCAAGATTGACAGAGTATATATCGGGTCCTGTACGGGAGGAAAGACTGAGGATTTCATGGCTGCAGCCAAACTTTTTGTAGCTTCAGTAAGACCCATATTCCTAGTGAACATTTGCCCTTGACTACTTTGCTCTTGTGTGTTCTCCATGACCTTTTATATTTCATCAACCTGCAATGTTTTGCCAAAGTTTGATCATCAAATTCAAGCCTATAGTTTCTCTTTAACTGGAGCTCTTCTAGCATACACATTTTATGCTCTCTTTCTCTCATCATTGGAAAGTATTATCTTTGGGACTTGTCATGCATTCTCTGTTCCAACTGTTTGGGTTAGGGTTGTGGTAAAGATTGTCCAACGTGCTTGTTCCCCGTCTATTTAACGAGACAGGCATTGTGGAGACACATAATATCTGTACCTAATCGGTTATAGAACTGCACCATCTGTTAAGTCACCTTGCGATTTCCCTTTCTTCTCTGTTATTCATATGTTCTTACCATTGTCTCCAGGGATATAAGAAGGTCAAAGTACCCACTTTCCTTGTCCCTGCTACTCAAAAGGTGAGTAATGCTGGATTTTGAATGTGCCAAAAATCCACAACTCTTGCAACTAGATCGCTCTCCGAATCATCCTTCGGTTTCGTTGGGTTTTCCAGGTATGGATGGATGTCTACAGTCTTCCTGTGCCAGGTTCAGGTGGTAAGACGTGCTCTCAGATCTTTGAGGAAGTTGGATGCGACACACCTGCAAGTCCCAGCTGTGGCGCTTGCTTGGGAGGCCCTAAAGATACTTATGCACGCATGAACGAGCCTAAGGCAAGTGGATTCGAATTCTCCATATAGTTTCCTTTCATTTTCTGTGCTGGTTTTCCCCGCTCATTCTGTTCGACTGCTTCTGCAGGTATGTGTCTCGACAACAAACAGGAACTTCCCTGGAAGGATGGGACACAAAGAAGGCGAGATATACCTAGCCTCTCCTTATACAGCAGCAGCTTCTGCTTTGACTGGATATGTTACTGATCCAAGGGACTTCTTGCAGTAAGATGACAGTTTTAATCCGTTTTGGAACTCTTTTCTCAATTGAGTGCTGTAACTTAAATTTCAAAAACTTGGAGATGGTATTTTCAGTATAATGTTTGTACTAGAGTTTGATTAGCCGATGGATTTTTAAATGGATGGATTTTGAGAAGTGGGTGGATTTGGAAACAAGATTAGATTTTGGAATATACACAGTTTGGTTATGGATTTTTGTTATGGATTACCACCAACATGGCGTCTCGTGTGGATTCTTCCCCGGCAGTACTGCTTCGTTTTTTCGGTCCTTCGATATGCTCTTCATGTTGTCCCTGATCTCCCTTTAAACGTCCATGAACGGCATGTTCATGTTCTTTATAGCAAAACAAAAAAGCTAATCATGAACGTCATATTACCTAAAAATGAAGGTGGGCTCGGATTTAAGGACCTCCACAGCTGAAATTCAGCATGATTAATCAGGCATTTCTGGGCTGTTATGTTTGTATCTCATTTGTTGCATTTGACCAGAAAGAAGTTGGAACAATCTAGGTCGTCGTCATCATCATCATGATCTGTTGCGGTTACTTAAACCGTGTTTAGTATTGGACCTTGTTGGGTCTCGTCTGATTCGTTGGATTATGGTTTTAACCCTAAGTTTATCTATATAAGCTTAGCTATCGACTTGTGTGATAGCAAGCCGTCAAGATGTAATCCTAATAAGAGATCAGCCGTGAGCTCTTATGAGCTCACCGTGGATTAGTCTCGATCAATCAATCGATCGAGGATACCACGTAAAACCCCTTGTCTCGTGTTCATGTTATTTCATCTTCCGCAACATCAAATTCTACATGATCATCTTGAAGCACAAGGAGTAAAATGCAAAACTACAAAAGCCAAACCAGAACAAGATAAGTTCATATCATCATCCATAATGTACATGTCGCCATTCTCACTCGACATAAAAGGGTAGACGGAACAGTTATGGCAGTGGAAAGAAATAAAAAGGAAAAGGGGGAAGCCATTGCCAAGCCAATTCCACCGTTTTCAGCAAAAAACAAAGAGCCCCATCATTGAACTTCGAGAGATTCCAAATCAAACCTCTTAAACAAATACCTCCTCTCCACAACTCGACAAGTGTCCCACCACCTGTAAACAAAACACAACCATGCACTCCCCCATTTCCTTACACGTGTTCTTCCATGGCTACGCTCTGCTCCCTTTTCTCTCTATATAGTGTCCTTCCCCACCTCCCTTCTCCAGAATCACGAAGCCATATATCCAAAAAGAAGCTCAAAGTTATCCAGCAGCTAGCTTATATCGGTCCCTTTTGTCACATTGTTACCTATCTTCATCCAGAGAAGCAAGAGAAGCAAAAAAAGGAAGGAAGAAAATGGCGCAATCGACGGTTGGAAGGAACGTAGCAGCTCCATTGATGTTCCTGAACTTGGTCATGTACGCAATCGTGTTGGGTTTCGCTAGCTGGTGCTTGAATCGCTACATCAACGGCCAGACTTACCATCCCAGTAAGCAACCAACTACTAGATATGCTCTGTTTTTTTCCATTCCCCTGTTTTTTCTCCCCTGTTTCTAATTTTTTTCTTTGATGTGATTCGATTGCAGGCTTCGGCGGGAACGGGGCGACGGGGTTCTTCCTGACGTTCGCGACGCTGGCGGCGGTGCTGGGCATAGTGTCGAAGGTCCTGGGCGGGAACCACATCAGGACGTGGAGGAACGACAGCCTGGCGGCGGCTGCTTCGACGGCGATCCTGGCGTGGGCGGTGACGATGCTGGCGTTCGGGCTGGCGTGCAAGCAGATAAACGTGGGAGGGCACAGAGGATGGAGGCTGAGGGTGCTGGAGGCGTTCGTCATCATACTGGGCGTGACGCAGGGTCTGTACGTGATGCTGCTGCACGCCGGGATGTTCAGCAGCAGGTACGGGCCGGGGTACAGGGACGATTACGTCGGCGGCGGCGGTGGAGCCGAGATGCCGAAGGGGACCGGTGCTGCCGGTATGGCCGGGGCGAGGGTTTGATGTCGTCCAAGGTGACACACCAATGTGTTTCTCAAAGAGACATTAGTCTCTGGCTACTCTTTTTTATCTGTAGAATGACTTGATTTTCACAGTAAGGTTTGGTTTTGTGTTCGTAGTTGAAAGAAGTGTTATGACACCCCTTTGTTGTAATTGGGATTTTCCGTTTAGGAATGTACGGTTACTGTTCGTTGAATAACGATTAATGCAGATACTTTACAATAATGAGAGGCTTCCCACTCTTGTTTTGGTAATCAAGGATCGTTGAACTAATAATGAACTTTTTTGAATTCAGCTACCCTGATTAGTAAGTTATTAGCCAATTAATCTTAACTCTTACAAGTTAAATTTGTTCATGATTTATAGGTTTGTTTAATTATATTTGATGTTTATATCTTTGAGTATGCCAGAGTGATTTGGATGGACGAATTTAAAAATTAAGATAATTTGACCACTTATCTCTTTTTTATAAAATGAGACAATTGGAATTACCTCAAAACCGAAATAATTTGAAATTCGCCAAGCCGGATTGATCAATCCTAGCAAATGATAATCGAGTTAATTACAATTATTCATTGAAAAATAACCCCTTAGAAGATAAATTATTCCCTATATTCCCACAAAAAAAGTAAAGATAAAATGTGTATCATCAAGTGCTTCAATACTAATTACTATAAATACTATAATATCAATTAACTAAAATTTATTAACTAATTAATATGATCCAACATAACATATAAGTATAAAACAATTAATTATGAGAAACGGATTTTTTTTTGTATAATGGCATTAATCATAACCTATAAATATTATAGAGTATTTGAATTATAAATTATTTTAAAATATAGTTTGAGAGTTTATTTTGTATAATGGCATTAATCATAACCTATAAATATTATAGAGTATTTAAATTATAAATTATTTTAAAATATAGTTTGAGAGTTTAGCTATCTAGAATAAACAACCTGAACTCAAATTGAATGCGCGAGCTTACTGATGGGCCAAACTCGACTAGAGCTCATTAGCTCATTAATAAGTAAGCCCAATTCTAGTTAAATATATGTCAATGTTTTAATAAACTAATTCTTTTATTAACAAACTCAACTCAACTCATTTTCAGGCTCCAAAACCTCAACTTGGAGCCTTAGATATACGTGCATTAAGTGGGTGGGTTCGGTTAGCGTGACTACCCCTAAAGGGGTAGTGATTTTCGACACCCAGTGTCTTTATCGTCCATTTTAGATAGTCTTAATCTAATGGTCATTGCAAACAGTTGGTAATTAATTCAGTAATTTTTTTTTTGATAGGAAACCTGATTCATTAAGCTCAACTCAAATTTTGGGCCTTTTCCGCCTCAATCAAACCCACAATCGAGTTTGGAGGGGAATCGCCTCAGTAATTAATTACATCGAAAAAGAGAAAGAAGTAAACAGTGGGTTCCTCCACTCATAATTAATCATTCCCTCTTACCTTTTTTAATTTCACCGTTTCAGTTTCCTTCTATATCTCTGGCTTTAGAACCCGCAAGCAATCCTTCGCCGCCGACTCATCAAATCACTACCCCCCGCCGTAAACCATCATCTCCTTCACAAACAGCGGTCGGCTCATTCCTTCCGTCGGAAGTCGTCTGTCTTTCGTCCCGAACGATCGACTTCAGAACTCGCCCGCAACCCTTCGCGATCGGAAACATCGGGCAGCGTCGTAGTGGGATCGCCTCCGACCCGCCTGGTGGGTTGCTCGTTGGAGGAGGAAAACACGCAGGGGATATCCCCGCCGCCCTTACAACAGGTCCAACCATCCATGTCGTCGGCCGTCTGCCGTCCTCCGGCTTCCATCGCAAACATGACCTTCCAACGACTTCCTCTTATTCACGGCCTGCGCTTGATCTTTTCTTGTTGACCACCGTCCTTCCACGGTAGAGATTCGATCAACCCTAAGTGGCGGCGACAGAATCTGAAGGTGAGGGTGGTACCACTAGGCAGCAGAGGAAACACACCAATGGACTGGTACATGTACCAGTGGAGTGATACTAGTGGAGTGGTACGTGTACCAGTGGAGTGGTACTAGTAACCATATTTCCTGTTTAGGCTTTAAAAAAAATTGTGAAGACTTTATGTTTATTCACATTCAAAGGATAATTTAGTGCTTTTGGCATTGCTGTTGGCATTTCCCTGATTTTGCAACCCATTTTGGAACACAACTTTTGGCTACTAATGGAAAGTTCCTATTTTGTTGACTGATTTAAATGTTTATTGTGTTGCTTGTGCCAGAATTATATTTCATGATCAAGTAAGTATGAGTATTGGTATATTGAGGACAGTCTTAATTAGTATCAGTTCAGTGGTATAAGTACCAGTTAATTGATATGTATACCAGTCTAGTGGTATAGTACAAGTTTTTTTTGATTTTTTTTTTTTGATAACCCAGGAATCTTAACCCCACGTGCCACTTTGTGACAGCGGGGTCTACCAAACCTGGGGAGCACCTGTACAAGACACAATATCGAGGGACTTCGTCCCCGGCACTCAAAGGTGCCTCCGGGAACACACAAGCGGCGCCGTTGGGGATCGAACTCAGGACCTCTCACATCCTGAGCCAACCAGACCAGCGGTTTCACCAGCTAGGCTATATTACCTTTGGCAGTGGTATAGTACAAGTTCAGTGGTATATATGTACCACTAAAGTAGTATGATTACCGCCGAAGTTGTGCGAAGACCATTTCTATTCATTACTCGCCGGCAAAGATATTTCAATGACATTGAAAGAAGTTAACCAATAATTACGACAAAAGAAAAATAATAAAATCAATTCCAAACTTCAAAAGTGTTGGAGACCACAATATTTTCATGATGATGTATTCCAAACTCCACTGGTACACGTACCACTCCACTGGTACACGTACCACTCCACTGGTACACGTACCACTCCACTGGTACATGTACCAGTCCATTGGTGTGTTTCCTCTACCGCCTAGTGGTACCACCCTCACCTTCAGATTCTGTCGCCGCCACTTAGGGTTGATCGAATCTCTACCGTGGAAGGACGGTGGCCAACAGGAAAAGATCAAGCGCAGGCCGTGGATAAGAGGAAGTTGTTGGAAGGTGATGTTTGGGATGGAAGACGGAGGACGGCAAACAGCCGACGACATGGAGGGTCGGACTTGTTGTAAGGACGGCGGGGATATCCGCCAGCCGTGTAGTGATGAACCAGACCTATGGTTCTCCACAGCAATGGAAAGAAACAAGGGGAAATAGCAGAGGAGGGAGGGGGGAATAGAAACAAAGGGAAAGGGAGTAGAAACGCCACAATTTCTATCCAGGGATCCAGCTAAATTGCCCCCTTACCGTGCATAATTAATATGACAATTAATTCTTTCTCCATCCATATTTATTTGGGACAGCCATTAATACTTGTCTAATGCCCAGGGTTTTGCGGGAGGCATTTGGTTGGCATGGGACTCGGGACGGGCAACAGTTACTGAGGTTGATCGTTCATCGCAGTTTATCCACGCCAAGGTAACTTCTAGTGAGAGGGAATGCTGGTTCCTTACCGCGATATATGCAAATCCAGCTCTGGTTCAGCGCCGTGAACTGTGGCAAGCGCTACGGGGAATTGCGGAGGGTATGACGGATCCTTGGCTGCTAACAGGTGATTTTAACTCGATACTCCAACCATCGGACAAGATGGGAGGAGCCCCTTTCGAAGCAAGTCGCGCTCGTGAGTTTCAGGATTGTATCTTGGATGCGGGTCTCTTTGATTTGGGCTTCACAGGACCACCCTTTACATGGTTCAAAGCAGGGACGAGGGAGAGGTTGGATCGAAGCCTCGCCAACTCTGCATGGGCGAGTGCTTTTCCAGATACGACGGTAGCTCACCTGCCACGTGTCAAGAGTGACCATCGCCCTCTGCTTACTAAGCTGACTCCGATTTACCAGGCGATTGGTCCAAAACCTTTTAAATTTTTGGCGGCATGGTTAACACATGAGGGGTTTGGAGACATGGCCCTTAATGCGTGGAACCAAGGAACGGATTTGGTCTCCTCTATTGAGGCCTTTGCAGCCGGAGCAAAGCAATGGAACTCCGAAGTTTTTGGAAATATTATGAGAAGGAAAAGCTCCCTGCTGACAAAGATAGAACGATTGGAGCGAAGGTATGGGGGAGACTCCGAGAACGCAGCACTTAAAGAGACCCGGGAGGAGCTAGAAACTGTTCTATTACAAGAAGATCTCCTCTGGTGCCAGAAATCAAGATTAGATTGGATCATTTCGGCTGATCGTAATACGAAGTATTTCCATGCAAGAGCAATCCAACGCAGGCGTCGAAATAGAGTGGTGGCCTTAAAGAATGCAGCAGGGGAATGGGTCGAAGATCAAGTGCAGCTCCTTGAGCTAGCCCGAGCTTTTTTCACTACTCTATACACTGATGATGGTGCGCCGACAAGTAGCCTGCCGGCTGCTTTCGATCCCATTCCTGCTCACTCAGTACAGAGGCTTGATGTAAACTTCACGGCGGAGGAGATTTGGCTTGCTGTCCGGGCGATGGGTCCGTTCAAAGCACCGGGCAAGGACGGTCTAAATCCGCTGTTTTATCAGCGGTGCTGGGATTTCGCAGGGCCGGCGGTAGTTGACTTTATCCAAAGCTGTTGGAGTGATCTGGAGCGGGTTAGAGTGGTGAATGAGACGATTGTAGCTCTTATCCCCAAAACCCAGAGACCGACTTTGATCGAGCAGTTTCGGCCCATTAGCCTATGCAACGTGACTTACAAGATGATGACTAAATGTTTGGCAGAGAGGATCAAGCCTCTGATGCCCGAGCTCGTTCATGAGACTCAGACAAGTTTTGTCCCGGGACGTCATATAACTGACAATATATGTGTTTTGCAGGAAGTCATTCACTCGATGCGAGCTAAGCAGGGTCGGCAGGGGTGGATGGTCCTGAAGATTGATCTAGCCAAGGCATATGATCGAATCAAATGGAGTTTTGTTCGGGATACTTTGGAAGCAGTCGGAGTCCCTCAGAGTTTTACTAATTTTACCATGCAGTGTATAACCTCTGCTAGCATGCAGATCCAGTGGAATGGAGGACTTACAGAAGCTTTTTACCCGACCAGAGGATTGCGACAAGGCTGCCCTTTATCCCCATACATTTTCACTCTCTGTATGGAACGGTTAGGTCACTTGATCTCGGCTGCCGTGGACAGGGGAGAGTGGAAACCCATCAGGTTGTCGTCACCGGGACCTAGTCTCTCCCATCTCTTTTTTGCTGACGATTTGATTCTCTTCAGTGAAGCTTCTATAGAGCAGGTACAAGTGATTATGCAATGCTTCGAGGATTTCTCTGCAGCCTCGGGTCAGCAGATCAGCCGCCCAAAATCAAGAGTATTTTTCTCCAAGAATGTGAGAGCTTCGGATTCGGTAGCTATCAGTGCGGCCCTTGACATTCCTGTGACGCTGAATTTGGGGCGTTATTTGGGGGTGCCAGTGATACATGACAGGGTTGCTAAAGCCACGTATACCGACCTGATTGATCGGATTGACTCCAGGCTGGCGGGGTGGAAAGTCAAGTCCCTGTCCCTAGCTGGGGGTTACTTTAGCACAGTCGGTCCTATCATCACTCCCGGCTTATACGATGCAAACGTCGTTCCTCCCCGCGTCTGTTAGGGAGTATATCGACAAGAAAATTAGAGGATTTATCTGGGGGAGTTCGGAGCAGGGAAGAAAGATTCATCTTGTCGATTGGGATACGGTGTGCAGGCCTAAGGAGGAGGGGGGGTTGGGGTTGAGGAATGCGACCAGGATGAATGAAGCCTTTATGGTGAAGATAGCGTGGCGGCTGTTGACTGAACAAGAGAGCCTCTGGGCACGGGTGGTTCGGGGAAAGTACCTAAAGCGAACAGCAGGGGGATGGAGACCGAGAGAAAAGGGTCGATTATCTAATCTATGGCGAGGCGTATTGCGAATCCTCCATTATATCCCGGAAGGCTTAATGTGGAATATCCAGAGTGGTATGCAGGCGAGGTTCTGGACGGACAGATGGTTATTTGATGGGCCACCTCTAGTGCAGTTTGCGGCCAGCCTACCGAACGAAGCAAACCAGTTAACTGTGGCCGAGATGATTCTTAATGGCAGCTGGAACATGGATTTCATTCGGGCTTTCCTCCCTGAAGAGATAGCTCAACAGGTGAGTTTGCACCCGATCCCCCTTTCGGCAGGAGATGATATCCCTGTTTGGCGATTCTCTAGCTCCGGGCGATTTACGCTGCATACAGCTTACGACCTTGTTCGTGGGGAGGATGAAGGCCCGCAACATCATCCCAAGTGGAGGAATATTTGGCGCATTGAAGGACCCCAGCGTACTCGCACGTTCTTCTGGTTAGTATCTCATCAAAAACTTCTTACTAACTCAGAACGTGTTCGTCGTCACTTGGCGTCGTCGGCGGACTGTAAAATATGTGGGGGTGAGATGGAGACAGTGGTACACGTGATAAGGGATTGCCCTTATGCGAGATTAGTTTGGTCTCTTTTCCTTGATGGCGAGCCTGATGGTGCTTTTAATGAAGTGGATGTGGATAAGTGGATAATGTACTATCTTGGAGGCAAGAGTAGTGTGGTCGAGGCTCCTATGTTTGCCATTTTGTGCTGGCAGCTCTGGAAGAACAGAAACACTATGGTGTTTGAAGGGAAGCTTGCACCAGCAACCCACCTTGCATACCAGGTGCGCACGCTAGTCGACCAATCCCGCCAAGCTTATATTTCGGCGAGTGTAGTTACGGGTAGTAGTGGGGGGAGCCGAAGTGGCATGATTAGCTGGGACCGGCCCCCGTCAGGCTGGGTTTGTTTAAATACGGATGGCTCTGTGGTTCTAGCTCAGAAGAGTACTGCTGCGGGTGGAGTGCTCAGGGGATGTGATGGGAGATTCATTAAGGCTTTCGCTGCTAATTTAGGTGGAGGTTCGATTACTCATGCAGAGTTGGGAGGCATAGCTCACGGTTTGCGTTTGGCCTGGGAGGAGGGAGCAAGGAAGGTGGTTTTACAGACTGATTCGACAACGGCGATCAACCTAATCAAGGATGCGACTGACCATAACCCACACTACACTGTGATAGCAGCTATCCGAGAGCTGCTGGCCAGAGATTGGGAGACGAAGCTAGAGCATGTTTTCCGCGAAGGAAACTATGTTGCGGATTATTTGGCGTCTGTTGGCCATTCTTTGCCTATAGGAGTCCATTTGATTGATGTCCCGAGTCCTGCCCTGAGGCATTGGTTGTATTTCGATACTATTGGGGTTCAGACCCAGAGAATTATCAGTAATTAAAGGGTTAGAGCGCCCCTAGCGCTCTGTTTCGCACCAAAAAAAAAAAAGTATAAAACTGACCAATCACTACCCTTTAGGGGTTAGCATAGTATCCGATCCCTTAATGGGTTGGTGCCGAAAAACTTACCAACAAATGGTAATCTGGCAACAAATTTTAACCCAGGATCGTTAAGACAACGAACGCATATCACCCAATAGAACAGCAAACGAAGCAATGATCCGTCAGAGCAAAACCTTCCCCAACTAAAAGACGAACAACAAATTGGAAACACATATGAAGCAGATATCAGAGGGTACAAAACATCATCAATTTCCCTTGCGCAGACCGTTTCTACAACAAAATCACTTTCTAACAGCTCATACATGAAGCTACATCCTCTCATCCTGCACTGACATAAAGAAGAGAGGAGAAAAACGGATGTAGAAAAGAACCTACCTTCAGAGCGATGCCCAGAAACCCCATTTTCTATGTTGAAGTGGCTTCGTTGATGTAACCTTCCTTGCGACCTTCAAACCCGGGCCGCATCAGCTTCTTCTCGCGCTTGGCGATCTTCCTCGCCTTCTTCTCCTGAATCCTCCCGGCTATGTTCTGCGACCGCTTCTCCTGCTTCCCAGCCTTCACCTTGTGCTGGCTCTCCACCCTCTCCTTCCACTTCTCCGCATTCTTCTGCTGCCTCTTCTTCTCCTTCTTTATGCTCTGCTTCAGCAGCTTCGGGTCGTCGTGGACCTTCACCCCGGCTGCTTTACTTGTCGCTGCTCTCCAGGACTCCTTGGCGCCTTTCTCCGGGTCCGCCTTGGCCTCCTGCAGCTCTTTCGCCTTCTCGAGCTCCTGCCGCTTCGAGAGCTTCCTCTTCTTCTTCATCATCCCGTGATCGTCTTCGTCCCCGATCTTCACGTGACTGAATCGCAGCTCCTTCGTAGCTTCCTCGGCCTCCTTCTCGACATTTTTAGCTATCTCGGCCTTGGTTGCTACAGCCTTCTTCCCTCCAGAGCCGTGCTCCCGCTTGCGCTTGCTCCTAAATTCCTGCCTTTCCTCCCTCTTCTGCTGTCTTCTTGAAGTGCCATCAGCCTTCCGCTCGCCTCTGAGCTCTTCCAGCTTCCTCTTGTAACGTTCCCGGAGATCCTCGTATGTTGCTGACCTAGCATCATCTTTCACACCAGATATCACAGGGTTGATCTCCACTTCTTCTTCTTCTTCCTCCTCGTCCTCATCTTCTTCCTCTTCCTCCTCGTCCTCACTTTCTTCCTTCTGTTTCTCCTTCTCCAAGTTTTGCTTCAGCAAATCGAGGGTGGTCACATTAGCCTTGTCGGGGTCCAACCGATCTCTCCTGGCCTTCTTGATGTTTTCCCTCGCTTGCTTCTTGGCTGCGTCCCTCTTAGCCTTGCTGAGTCCTTGAAACCATGGCTTGTCCTCGTCCTTAGACAGGTAGAACTTGGCCGGGATCAGCTCGACCAACTTGTCGAAGAATTGAGAATGCTGGTGAATTAGGGACTTCAAATCGATCTCGCGTTCAGGTTCCACAACATCATTCTGTTGCTTCTTCTTCTTCATCACAAAGTTCGCTGAAACTGCAGCGACAAACAGAACAAATTATGGTCAGCAAGCGACCTAGCAAGCTACATGAGAAGTCCAAAAGACCATTCGACAAACTACGACGATCAACAGAGGCGGAAAACCGCATAAGTTCTGCAGAAGCTACAAACAACGGAAAAGCCCCCACTAGAGAAAAGACGCAACAAAAAGGCAACAGCTAGAAGCTAGAATCAAATTGATAGAATTAACAGCTTTCGACATGATTGAACGCTATCAAAGTAAGCACCATTCTACAGAGAGGCACGAACTCCTCTCTATCTAAGATTCGCCTCGGTAAGCAAACAGACGCGCTACAATGAAGTGAAGCATTCGGCAGGCCAGGAATACAAGAACTAATTTACGAAAATCGATTCGACTGCTCAAGCATTTTCGTAGCAATCAACAGAAGAAAGCGGAATACGGGAACGGTACCTTTAGGGCGCGGGACGGAGAGAAGGATGACCAAAACCCTAGAATCTGGTGAGCCAGGGAAGAGTTATAACCTTGAGGCGCTTGAATGGGAAGGAAGGAAGGAGAGGCTGGGCAATACGGGAAACGGGTCGAGGCAGATTATTGTACTTCCAACATTGGGCTATTATAGAGATGGGCACCGTTGTTGGGGGAGAAATGAGAATTGGTCGAAGCCCAGTATCGAAATGAGGCTGCTCAACTGGGCTGGGCCTCAAATTGATATTTTACTTATTCCCAGCTGTTTTGGAGTGTGTTTATTATTAGGGTAAATATTAAACAAGTAAATAGTAGGGTAAATACAATTTAATATCCAAACCTTTCATTTTAAATAATAGGCAAAATACACTTGTATAGCCATAACTTTCACGTTTGTGACAAATATAGCCAAAATTATTCGAAAACCAAAAATAGCCAATTCCGTCCATCTCTTTAACGGTGTTACTTAACAATCTGACTGTACTGACGGAATATGCTGAGTTGGCGATTTATGATCCCCACCAAGCCGATGTGGATTAAAAAAAATTAAAATATAAAAAATCATTATTTATCTAATAATTTAGTTTAAAAACAAAAAAAAAAAAATTCCAACCTTATACCCACCGCCCATCTTTCTCCCATCTTCCTCCAACTGTACATCTTCCCCAATTCAACCAAGATCCTCCCCTGTTCTCACCTTCCTCTCTCCCTCTCTCTTCTTTCCTCTTCCGCTACGAACAACACCTCCCCTCTCTTCTCAATTCCAGATCATCGCTTCCCCCCACAAACTCAATCCACACCGCCGACAGACAAAGAAGGCGGCTATTGAAACCCAAACTCGACGCCGCCTCCGCGCCCAGACCCAAGTCCGAGTTCCCGGGAACAGATTCATCAAACTCTTCCCCGGCGATTGAAACCCAAACTCGACGCCGCCTCCGCGCCCAGACCCAAGAACCCCTACCCTCCCTATGTATTCAAAAACACCAACCAACAACTACAACAAGGAGTCGAGAGATTCTCCACCGCCACCAGCGAGAAAATTTCAATCGGCGAAGAAACGCCTTCAATCGGCGACCGGGCACTTCCAAACGACGACAAGAAGCCTCCAATCGGCGGCGGGCAGCACTTCGATATCCAGAGGCAAAGAGCAGCAACCTGCTTGTTTCTTTTCCCTCGACCTACCACTCCAAATCCTCCATCCCCACTGCTCCTTCTTGCAGCTAATATTGTTTCCTCGAGATTCGCCCAATCAGTTCATCTACAGAGGGCTGGTCGGTGGTGAGAAACGAAACGGATTTCATCAAACCAGGACGAAGAACCCGATCTGGAACTGAGCCGAAATTGCAGGGATTGTCGCCGCTCCGGTGGCGAGAGGATCTCGATGAAGTGCGATTGGAAAAGAAGACGCCCTCTCGGTCCTCTTGATGGGGATGAGGTGCGATTCGAAGGGAGAAGGATCTGGAAGGTGGGGAGGTATTGTTGAGATGGGCATGGCCACAAGGGAAGCGGTTCCAGAGAGGGCGAAGGTGAGATTGGAATTTGTGAGGAAGGGGAAGGAAATTTTTGGGTAGTGTTTATGGTGGTGACGCGGGAGATTCGTAGTTACGGTGACCGCGGCGGCGGCCATGGATGGGAGGAAGGAACAGAGGTGGGAGGAAGGAGAAGGGGATGGTGGCGGTGAAGGTGAAGGGGAAGGGGAAGGGTTAGGGTTTTTTGGTTTCTTTTATGATTAAATATTAAATGTATTTTTTATTCATATTATTTTTTTATTTTTATTATATATTATCATATATAATCTACATGTCACTTTATGCTGATTTGTCGATGACGTGTACGCTGATTTGGCGTCCTAATCAGCAAATCACTAACAAAATTGACGGCGTCACTAACACCGTTAAAGTTTATAACGGAAATGGCTAGATTTGTCACACTACCCTCCAATTTCCTGGCTATTTTGGGTTTTCGAATAGTTCTGGCTATATTTGTCAAAAACGTGAAACTTATGGCTATACAAGTGTATTTTGCCTAAATAATATAATAGCCAAACCTTTTCGAAAACAATCTAATATCCAAATCGTCAACTTTCCGTCCGTTTGACCGTTGGTTGACACTTCAAAAAAGCTTTGTTTAGGGGAAATTGTCACAATACAACTTTGTTTTCTTGTTTTGCCATTGCAGATGACTGAATATTTAGATATTCTATACCATCATGGTGGAGTCATGGACTTCTCGAGTTTGGAACCACGATATGTTGGTGGTTTTTCAGAGAAGATATCGATGGATATTGATGAAGCGTCGTACTTCGAACTTTTTTGAAGTGTCAACCAATGGTCAAACAGACGGAAAGTTGACGATTTGGATATTAGATTGTTTTCGAAAAGGTTTGGTTATTATATTGTTTAAAATGAAAGGTTTGGATATTAAATTGTATTTACCCTAAATAGTAAATACCAAGGTTTAAGAAGGTGCTAGGCAAGCGTTGGAGTCTTGTCTAGTGACTAATTCGTCTAAATACTTAGACTTTTTAAGAAAAATAACAATTTTTTTAGTAAAAGTGATAATTTTATAACACTTTTTTACTTTAGTTATTATTAATAACTTAGCTAAACGGTAACAACAAGAAAAATAAGTCAGGATTTCTTAGAATCATAATTTTGCTCTACGGTCGAGAGCATTAAAAAAACCAGGGCAGGGGGCCGGATTGATGGGAGCTCAAGAAGAACTGCCAAATTGATGGAGTTTGGCTACTCTACAATTGGCAATGACGAAAAGCAGGGCAGAGGGCGAAAGGGATGGAGTGAAAAGGAGAAATTGTAGCGATTCGTGAGTTTCAGTTCTTTGTCTCATTGATCTAACATTGCAATTCCAAATCGTGGAAGGAAGAGTGAAGGACCCGTTGAATATAGGACCGCTAGAGACTGCGTCATTTTGGGAAGGTTATAATCTACAAATTAATTGATACCTGGTTTGACAACATGCTTAAGCATGCCCAGCTCACTTCAATTAATCATAGATCACGTCAATTAATCATACCCAGCTTTGCTTAGGCGCCATTCGGGTCAGATCCGGTGCTTAAGTCTAAAAGCTTAAGCATATGCTTAAGTGAATTCTATTGGCCGAAATCATTTCAGTTAATTTTTGGCAGGTATTTAGTTAGATAATTATTAAGGGTAAATTTGGTATTAGGAAGAAAACTACTAGTTAATAAAAAGGGGGAAAAATTTAAACCCTAAATCATTTTGTGTTTCTACCTCCCGTCCGCCAAAAGCGAGAAGCCGCCGCCATCCCGCCGCAGTCCGTCGTCCTGGTATCTTCCATCTCGCAGTAGAAGGCGACATCGTCGTTGTCATCGTGAGCCCCCACAATCCCAGCGTCGCAAACCGGCATCGGCACCGCCGCATCAGCATCCAGCGACGTCGCCATCCCGCAACAACGTAGCCATAGCCTCCACCGACATTCCGCCATAGCCACAGCCTCCGCCGATGCCGCTCATGTCGCCACAACCTCCAGCCATGCCGCCATCCTGTCTTTACGTTTATTTGTGGGATATTGATTATTAACAATAAATGAGAAAAAGGTTTGTATTTTAGGGTAATTGTTAACAATTTTGAAACTATTAGTAATGATAAACTTTAACGTTGTTAATGTTTTAATAGGAGTTGTTTAACGTTTTGAACGTTAAGGTGACGTTCTCATAAAAAATTTCATTGAAAGTATAAATTGTAAATGTTTTAGGTAAATTGTTAACAGTATTGAAACTATTAATTTTTAACGATATATTTTAACGTTATCAATGTTTTGATGGGAGCTATTTTATTCTTTTAACAAACAAACAAACAAATAAATGAAATCTTAAACCGATATTAAGGACAACAAATATGTTACTAATATAAACACAAAACAATATTAAATAAATGAGCTCCCAAAGACGGCTTACTCGTTTCAACAAACAGAGAACAACTGATATCATGATAACTAATCAAAACTTGAAAATGAAATTTGAAATCGTTAATAATGTAACTATGTTTTATTAATAATTCATTCAAAAAGTTGATAATGTCGGCTATAATATTTATTACCTTAAACTGATAACATAATACATCAAAAGTTGACAGTGTTTGTTTTTAACATTATAAGACAAAAATGTAAATATTTTAGGTTAATTGTTAAAGGTGTTGAAACTATTAGTAATGATATACTTTCACGTAGTTAACATTTTGATGAGATTTACTTAACATTTTTAACATAAACGTGACATTCTCATTTCAAAAATATCATTGAAAGTGAACATTATAAATGTTTTAGATAATTTTTTAACGATTTTGATATTAATAGTAATTCTATACTAATGGTATATCATTAGTATATCATGATACATTAACAAACAACATCTGATGTCATGATACATTAAACCAAGATAATGACATTTAATTGGTAATAACATAATTATATTTTATTAATAATTCACTAAAAACAATTGATAATGCTCTGCTATAATGATTATTATCTTAAATGTTTTATTACATTAATAACAATTACATTACATCATTAACAATAAGCATAAACCCATTAACAAACAACCAAAAATAAATTAGGAGACAATGATAATGCTTTGGTATATATTGATAATTCATTGCAAAAAAGTTGATAACGGTACCTTGGATTGATAACAATGAACCCAAAAAAGTTGATGATGTAATTGTTGGACATTGTTTCATAAACATTGACGTTCAAATTGAAAAAAGTTAACAATTAATTTTTTTCCTCTATCATTAATAATTACATTCATATAAAAATATTTATTATGTATATCGTCCAAGACTGATATTCTTCACCATCTTTGACATTTGGTACATAATGGATCTTTGATTCCGCGTCTCATCATCATTGCCTTCAACTTCTAGTTGCTTGATCTAAGCAGAACATTCTTGCATGACACGTTCTTAGTCCGCGCCATGCCGTCAAACTACACAGAAAAATGCACAAAATTTGAGAACATTACAAAAGTGATAAACTGGATTTTGTATAATAATAACCATGTAATAAATTACGCATAAGTTGATAAAGATGCAATAAACCGTTAATAATGTAACAACAAATTATTAACAACGGAACATCAAGGACCCAAA